CAGCGGAGCGTGCAGGCAAGAAGCGACACCGCCGACGTGATGCGAGCGGCAGTGCGGCGTGCGCGAGTGAAGTAGCAGCGGGTGGGTCCGACGCTGACGCATTCCGGCGATGCCGATGACCAGGCCCCGAACAAAGACGCTGCTGCAGAGGGGGAGCAATCGTAGTGTGCGCCGTTTGCGTGTGCAATCAAATGAATAGTGGTTACATTGATTTGCTTCTATTGGCTATTTCTTCTTTACTTGACGTGTGCAATGTTGCATCAGTCATCTTATGCAGCAGTACAACTGAGAAAATCCAACATGAAACAGGAATATGTTGGATGTGCTCGTTTTTATCCATTAGCAACCCTGCACTATCCATTTGCATAGCTGGACGAAATTCGGGGCTATACAAATTCCTATATTAAATTATGTTGGAGCTCCAACAATGTTGGACCAACATAAGATCAAAATATACCCCTGACTTTTCGGCCGGGAACTAAGGGGTTAACTAAACAAGTTGTTTGTCAGTGCGATCGATCCGCCTTCGACAGAGCCTTGGGGAAGAACAATGGGAAAACTGCGAGGAAAAGGATAATTGCTTTATTAGGACTGGACAATATCTAACGCGCTAACGCCATGGCCAACGTTAGGAACACTTACGGATCTAGCATCCGCTACCACCAGCAATGCGCAGGCAGCTCGTCGAGTCGAACAGACTGAGGATGTTGGTCATGAGCGACCAGGCCAGAGCGAAGATGAGAACGCAGATGGTAGCGATACCCATGATCTTGTTCGTGGCATTGTCACGCTGCATACGGTGAAGCTCTTCCTTCTGGCGCGGGAGCAGCACAACGAACACGATTGCAAGGAGGTTGACAGCGTAGGCGATCAGGTAAGCGTATGTGACCTGCGAGCGCACGTGGTGGTCATCCTGCTGAATGTACTCGCGTTCAATGTCGAAGTAGCCGTCGATAGATTTTGTGATCACCGTCGCGAACGGGATACCAACACGCTGCGAGGTCACAGCCAAACCAAATAGAGTGGCTTCGAAGTCTTCACTGTCAACCTCGAGCATGAACAGAGCACCGACAAAGTCAGTTGCGGCGAATGGGATCTTCTCGAGCAAGGGAACACCAAGCCAGAACCACTGGCTGCGAACGACATCCCAAATCGTGAACATCGTCGGGATAATGTCGAGACTCACGACAAGAATCTGAGCGAAAATGATGATGTAGCGCCAGTTCCAGGCAAGACCGTACTTCTTGACCAATTACGTTCCGAGCATAGTCAGGAAAGCAGCCAACATGGTTGCAATACCGTTATTAATGGGCTCAACGCCAGCCCACGTGCTTTGGATCGCACTGGCCGAAGTCACAGAAATCATGGCCATCACATTGTAGAAGAAGCGGAAGGCGATGTATCGGTAGATAGTTTTACGTTGGAGCAGCTCATAGAGGAACGTGTAGACCGACTTGGACGGACCGGACGTGACGCGCTCTTCTTGGATACACCACCAGCAGAACGGCAGCACAATGAGTGACGTAGCGGCGCAAACGCCCATGATCGCGTTGAAGCCGACAGACCACGAGAAGGTGCCGCCATAGTCTTCGCTGTTGAGACCCAGACCCGTGAAGAAGGCCGATACAACCGCAAACCAGTAGAAGACAACGTCACAGTCACCCATAGCGGTACCGCGGAGATGAGCGGGCTCCTGCTGCGAGATTTCGATCATAGTGCCGTTGAAGCCACTGTACGCGAGGACGGTACCGAAGTTAGCGAACATCATCAGGATAATCATCTTGATACCGCGGTTAGGAGCGTCCGTGTCGATCGTCGCGAGCTGCTCGGGGGTGAGCTCAGCAGTGTCCAGGTCAGCAATGGATTGATCGCCGTAGTACGGATCACCAAGAGGTAACACCGCCATGAGGAAGCACGACAGGAACGTCATTCCCCATCCGATCACGATGTACGGACGACGACGGTAACCAAAGATCGGAACTGTGTCCGTTAGCATACCGGTGAACACACGGAGACTGCGAGGAAACTGGATGAGTGCAACCGCCGTTGCAACCAGAGTCGCAGACATGTGCAAATAGTTATTCAGCGCCGCGTAGACAACACCACTGATGGTACTGTTCACGATACCGACACCAGCCGAATGGCAGCCATACGAAGTTTTCTCACGAATACACAGACACGAGCCACGAGGGCAACGCAGAAGCACCATTTTCGCGCTGACCAAGCGAAATGGCATTCTCCACATTGGGTGACTTGACCTCTGCGTACGAATTCTTCTTGACTTGCTCAGGAGCCTCCATTGCGCTTGGAAGATTGAGAAATGAGCTTCATTGAAGTTTTAAACCAAGGCGACGTTGAGTGTGGAGATGACTGCTGGCATTGCATCCGACAACTTGGTGACCGCGAGATGTGTAACGCAAGATGACCTGCACAGTGCACACTGTATCCGAACGTGAAGATTAACCTTCTAATCTCCGCAGAGAGGGAGGACTCTTCCGAAAGTGTGACAGGGCAACGTTCCAATGAAAATTTTCCATACAGAAGTCATAGCACCGGTAATCAACAAATTCCTATCATGGGGTGTCCAAGTATTCCTTTTAATTTTTTCACAGATAAAATGCCAATTGCTTGCCGACATTTTTACTACTGTCGGAGGGTATTCCAAGAGTAGGGATCAATACCGCTGTACATGTTGTTTTGAAGAACTTGTGGTTTCAAGATAAATCATGAGATTTGCCCTTCTTTACAAATCTAGTCAGTTAGGCACCATTATGCTAGTCGACTCGACTGTCGAGGTCGCAGTACAGCTTGAGCCTTTTGCTGGAGTACCTACATGTATATGAGAGCTGCTTAAAGCTACATAGCAAGCTATAGCTGGAGCACTTGCCACGTGAAGATAAATGTAGCTTAAAAATCACCGCAATGCTGGTGGTTCAGGCTACAGGGTCACGAGGCACGGCATGCACATCATCACGTGGTTGTGCTTGGCTTCCCTGGTTTTGCTGTTCGTTCCCGTTGAGACTTAAAAGTGGACGTTGAAGGGCACGCGTAATAGCGGCGTGATTGGATCGAGGCACGCGCCAGACACCGCCTCTCGAATCGACGCTCATGCTCACGGCATCTACGGTGACCGGCACCAGCGAGACTTCCAGTGAGCAAAACGCTTCAGATAAGTGTCCTACCTTAGAGCTGTTGAGCACAGTTCTCGTCGCGGAACACCTTTCCTACGTATTCAGAGCTAGCTGCAACCAATAGTACTGCTACACTGTATGCGAATCATGCTCGGTTACATGTAATACAAGTGTGTTGATGCAGATGTGCTTTGCATGTAAAAGGCGTCGCTGTGCTCCATCCAGGTTTTCGACATGAAAAAAACGAGAGGCACGCGCCCCTGTCACCAGCTGACAACGTTGTAAAACCGTAAGGATTCAAGAGTTACTTCCAGTTTAATTATTAAAGTAACTTGGCACCATTTTCTTCTTTGTTGCGATGCACTGCACGGAGCAGTCTTCACGAGCAGCGCAGTACTCGAAGCTGCGAAGCACTATACATTTTAATCGACTTGTCTATTCTATTAATAATATGCAGGTTCTGTCTGAACTGCCCAAAACACGCAGTTTGTTCCAGCTTAGAATTAAGATACTGGTGCCTTTGACGAGTGTGTATTACATGTACAGTACCAGTAATGCATGTAGCGTACAGGCAAGCGGGATACGACTATAAAAAAGTTTGCAAGCTCACCTGGATGAAACCAGTATCGGACCAGCGCCTTCGGATAAATCGGGTGATCAGCTGAACCTGGACATGTACTGAATAAAATCCTCTTTGAAGTGATATTCCAAAAAGGGCTAAATGGCAAAAAGCGTGATGATCTCAGGCTAAGGGCATCTCCACCGCGGACCGCAAATTGCGGACACCATAAATCATTCCTTCTTGTCTAAAACACCGGGTTGGAAGTCCTGCGGATTCTCGAAATTGCAGGCATCCCACCCCGCTATTGTGGGCAGATATAAGACCGAGCCTAAAGACAGCAAATCAAAATAGTTTACCCACCGATGACAGAATATCAGCAAATAAACTCCCGGACCGAGACAGCAAGCTGGTAAATTGGCTGTGACAGCCAGGCTGTCGCATTTGCTGATCAGCAACGCCCAGAAAGAATGATGTTTAATAAAACCAAGTGTAACCAGCAAATAAAACGAGACGGAGTCCCACCAGCAAGGCATACAATGGCTTGAATGGATTTGCTGCAAAACGGCATGTTTTGCTGTGCTTGCTGTCAACCGCGGTGAATTATTAATACACAAGTCAAGCGGGGCCTCACAGGCGGCGCTCTTGGTGCACGTTAGAGCCGAACGAGAGTGTGACCTACGTCGCCTCGCTCGGTGGATTTTCAACCCAATCAATCGCTCCGCTCGGTGGTGTAGAGGCCAGGATATTATGACCAATTACGTTTTGATCAGTACCTCAGTCAGCTTTACGAGTTGGCTGATGCCGTTTAGATATGTTGTTTCTATCGCCAAACGCAGTTTAGGACTTGTTCTAGCGCGTGGGATATCGCAGTTTAGAGATGGGCTAGTATACAAGCGACCGTCTGGACGTTGCGGCCATTATTATGACCACCCGTCCCAATACAAAAGAACAAGTAAAAAAAATGATGGTCAATGTGACCTAGCTACTCATTGGATGCAGTCTTGTGTGATGCCATTTAGGTTGGTGCGCGCCATTCTCCAATTCTACAGCAAGTACGGAGGAACTCCTGAGTGTCGAGCGGTCGTGCACCACGACGACTCAAGGGCTGTCGAGACCACGTTTCGTCTCAAGGCGACGGAGTTGGGAATGATACTTCCCTTCTACGACGACCAAGACCAAGAAAGGAGGGAGTTGCTTTGCATCTCGCCCTCCCAAGTTCTTCTGGCTAGGGACACGCTGCAAGCAGCATTTCTGAAACATTCTCCAGGGTGGCAGAAAGTTGCCGATATGGATCATATCACAGCCAGCTCGCCCCCGGCAGGTCATCAGGTTCCCCCAATGCCCACGTTCGTTAAGGCCGCTGTCTCGAAGGCCTACGTTTTCCAAAAATTTTCGGTGACACAAGTGGACAAGATGCCGCTGGATGTAGACGCGTACGTCGACGGATTTGGCACCAGTCACGGCAAGGCTGCGTTCGAGGATCACGTTTCTAAACTGGAACAACATGTTCCCTGGAAGCTGGCATGCCTGCGTCGAGGTGCTTTGCTCGACAACAAGGAACCTACCGGGCCCGATTTCGTCCGAACCCGCTGTGGCGTAGCTCCCTCGCACGTGTCAAG